TAATGCGTAAAGGGGTTTAGAATGAATGTCCTTACAGTAATGAAATCAGTTCATTAAACAATACTCTAGTCTTTCAATCAGAACAGCTATTCAGTCATATGTGGTACATCCATTAGCATAACAGTAACAGTAGGTCTTGAAAGACCGAACAGTAATGATGGCCATCAGTCAGTAAACAGTAGTGGTTCCACGAGGGAACCGACAGAGATTTCTGTCACAGTAACAGTAAACAGTAGGTGCTGAGGATGCCACAGTACAGTTCAGAAATAAAGGACATACATTCATTCAGTAATACCAGTTTAGTAAACATTTCAGTTCAGTATTCAAAAGATGTCAGTTGAACATATCTTTACACAATTGTTACTCACAGAGTTCTGGGCTATAGTAAGCTAGAGCGTCTCCTCGGAAGTCAACCCTACACAGTCAACAGATCGAACACACACTAAGCTACACAGTTGGGAAAGATAATAACTTAACCCCTAATGCCTCGGTGTGTTCTACATCTATATTCTCATTAAGATGTCTTAAACTAGGCCTAAGAATGCCTAGAATGGGATGAGGATGCAAAGATGCGATCAGAAAACAGTTTCAGAATTTTCAGTAAAACAGAGTCCCGCTCGAGCTCAGGTTTTCCCCGCTCGAGCGGTCATGCAACAAAGGTACACGCTCGAGCGTAAACTTTCCCGCTCGAGCGTACTGTAAAAGTACTGGATGGGTGAAATCCCCGCTCGACGCTTGCTCGAGCTTGAGACATGACTCCGCTCGAGCGCCCAATCTTCCGCTCGAGCGGACTGTAAAACAGTGCAAGATGCTGGAAGCTCGATTTTCCCGCTCGAGCGGCACTTCCCCCGCTCGAGCGGACGACTGAAATCTGGAAATCCCAGATTCGAGCTCCAGGTCCAAAACCAAGCTCAAAAGCATCAAAACCAATCCTCTTGGGCCCATTTTCTGGAAAACATTTATAAACACATAGAATAACATGAATCAAGGTTCAATTTGAGAAATCAAAGCCCAAGGGTGTTTTATTTAAACCCAATTTCAAACCATTTCCTCAAACATGACATGCATGATCTTAAATCCTTTTCAAAGCTTCAATGCTGTTTCAAAAGAGCTCAAACCTTCAAAAACAAGATGAACTCATGGAGTATGACCAAAAGATGGACATGCATGTGAGGCATTATGAACTACAACCTCAAAACTTCAATATATGTACATGCATGCAACAATTAAGCTACAATTCGCCATCTAAACCATGTTTGGCTCTACACTCCTTCAATATGACATAAATCATGCAAGATTCAACTTAAAACATGAATAAGAAGACAATGGAGCTACCTTAAGTCTTGTATTTCAAGAAGGGAGCTCAAATATGCAATCACTTCAACAATTTCTCAAGCAATTCCAAGCAATTCAAGATGAAAACCAACTCCTCAAGTCTCTCTCTCTCTAGGGTCGGTTGAGGCTCAAAATGTGAGAAGAAGTGTGGGTTTAATCAATACGTGGAGTGTTTACAAGGCTCATGTGTGTGTGTGTGTGTGAGTGGCCCACTTAGTGGCAAGGTTGTAATTAAATCCAACTCTTTAATTAGCTTATTTAATCTACTTTAATCATACCTAATCAATTTTCAGATAATTGTACAATAAAATCACGTAAATTACGAGGGTCACAGAACACTAATCGGTTTCAGATTCGGCCGCCGATAAGGCCTTCAATTAGCAGTTTAAACATACGAACATGAACAGATAATCATACAATCAAACAGATAGAATGAAATTAACTAACATATACTCAGTCAATTCAGTTCCAGTTTCAGTCAGTCAGTTCAGTACTTTTAATCAGTTCAATTATCGGTTAGTTATCAGTCATTATCAGTTCCGTTTAACAGTAACTGGTGATCAATCAGTCATTAATCAGTAATCAGTATGAGGGTTGTTACAGGGTATGAGTGACCCCTCTGAGCCTATCCTACGAAAGGACCTGCGAAAAGTGTTGGAACAGGTGTTGTGTCTCTTCCAGTTGCAGGAAACTCAACCAACCCCCTGGGTACAAATTCGAACAAAGGATTAGTGAACCCCCTCGTGCCGGGTATGGCTTCGAACATGCTATTTGGAAACATCCTTAGGTCATTTTCTTGTGTTGGACCAGATCCACCAATTTGCATGGCATCATTGTTAAGTAATGAGGCATTTTGATTTGTCACAGGCCTTGAAAGAAGCTCATACCAAGACGGAGGTGATGGTCTTTCATAGTTTTGGTTACTAGTTTAACCATTAGTGTGTCCATTACTCTGTATAGGCTGTTTATCTCTAGCCAATCTTTGCTGAGGGACATTTGAAATTTCCTCTATGTGCCTTGTGTTAGTTGGTTGATGAGTTGATGAGTGTTCATTCGATCCACAAAGGATGTTGCCAATCTTTCCATTGTGTTCGTTAACTGTTGTCCCACAGCATCTACTAGGCCTCTCCATGGATTTATTGACTGAGCAGATGGAACAGTGGATGGTCCAATTCCTTGGCCTCATCCAATATTTTGAATATGTGGTACTTGTTCCGAAGTGCTGGTCTGTTCGACCATAGGTTCTGACAAAACAGGTACTTTCACAGGATGTGTTATCACATTATCCTCTGGATTAGACATTTCTACCTCTCCTTCCACGCCTTCTTCCAATCGTTCATTTTCTCCTTGTCTCCTATGTCTAGCCATTTCAATTAGTCCCACCGGACGTGCCAAAAATATATGTTGACTTTTTTGGTTTCCGAAGGTTATTATTGTAATTTTGAGCGTGCTAGCAAGGATCAATCAGTCCTTATAGAATATTAATTGCCAACCAATTTTCAGACGATTGTGTTTTAGTTCTTTCAGCCTTAATGAAGAGGATTTTTACTGGTGGCTTTGTTTAAGAGAATTAAGCAAACAATGGTTAAATGAAGAACAATTGCAGCATTTCATTGAGTAAAATGAAGACTTACAAAGATCCAAATCAGCCTTGTAGAGGTTTACAACAACAAACTACTTGAAACCACTCCTATGAACGAAGTGTAGTGTAAGAATTTGAAGTACAGAAATGTAAAAACTGGAAGGAAAAACAAAGTAGATAAAACTGGTTTTTTTGGATCTGAGTTTGAGGGCTCTTTCTAGGGCCTTCTCTACTATTTATACTTCTCAATTACAACCGTCGAAATGCATTTCTAACCGTCGAATCATCCCTCCATGATCGCTGATCATGTTGCCTTATAGGTAGCTCCACTATGCCATATCTGCAATTAGGCTTCCTTCCTGATTTTGAATTTAAATATGAGTAACCATTGAAGCCACATCATTTTACATCTCTTTGCTGATCTAGTGCTATGCAGATCCACAATAACCAATACTAACTGTCACGTGTGTGATTACGATTGAAGATTTGAATTATTTTCCCGTATTGTCCTCATCCTGCCACGTGTCAAACTGTGATTAGCTTATACAAAATATGTAGCCAACAGTATGTTTTAAGGGCTTCAAGAAAAAAAATACAGGACTTATATATTTTCTTTTCTAGAATTTTTTATTTAAATTCAATTTTGATCCATCACTATTCAGCTTTCATAAAAATTTTAAATGATAAAGTGGCTAGGGGATAACATTGGATTTGGAACACAAGTTGAAATCTAAGAACTTAATGGTTGTAATGAAAAAGTGAAAGACCAAAATATAAAAAATATAATTTACTCAAATAAAAAATATAAAGAAGTGGGGATCATGCCATTGTCTTTAATATTTGGTTTAGTTTTTAAAATCTATTTTTTTTTTTGAAAAAAATAAAAGTAGTTTGGTGAAATAAATACATAAAATCTATTTTCACCCTCAAAAGAAAAAGTTATATAAAAATGAGTATTTTTTTGATTATCTTTATCAAATTAGTTTTTAGTTTTTCTATAACAAATTTGTTACAGTATATTAAAATAGGGTATGGCTTCTGTCCAGTTTGGCATCGGATTGGACCGTGTTGTTGGGCCCGTGGGGCCCATCACAGGTCCCGTTTTGACAATCTGAACCGTTCAATGTGTAGAAATCGTTGAGTACTGTATGCTTAAAAAAATAATGTTGATCGGATATCAATAGTTATGTGATCAAAATAGTTTTTTGTCAACCGTTAATTTGTTCACCGTTCAATTTTTTTAATACGAAACTGATTTGATCATATAGCTATCGATATCCGATCAACGTGATTTTTTACAGACATATAGTATTCGACGAGTTTTACACGTTAAACGGTTCAGATTATCAAAACAGGACCCGTGGTGGGCCTCTATGAACCCAATAATACGGTCCAATCCGATCCTAGACTAGACAGAAGCCATACCCATTAAAATATATATATAACAAAATAAGATGAATAATACGAGTCCAGCTTAAGACTTGAAAATGTGTGAGACTTTTACAAATCTACATGTGTATAGATTTCACATCTATATGAGAGATTTGGTAAAATATTTAATAGATTATTTCTAATCTCGACACCTACTCATAAAAAAAATAATAATAAAAAAATGAACACATTGTAGAGTTGCATTTTTGCAAAAATCCCAGGCCCACTAATTTCTCAATTCTCATTAATTCACAGTTTCAAAAAACAAAAAAAAACTCTCTTTTTTCTCTCTCAAAAACCCTAGAACCTCAACCTGGCGGCAACTCCGTTATAAATTCTCTTCAAAATCTCCTCTTTCTGCCTCTTTCAAAGCCTCCTGCCTGCTTTCCTCTCTTTCTCTCTCTACAAAACCCTAGTTTCTCTCTCCTCAGCTTCCATGGAGTTTTGGGGTAAGCTTCCTACACCTTCATCACTCTCTTAGGGTATTCTTTTATTTTCAGTCGATTGTTCGTCTATGTAGTATATGTTCCTTGGGTTTTCTGTGTTTAGAGATTGTTTGGTTCGATATTCTCTCCTCATACTTCGTCTGTATCCCTTGCTTGGGACGTTGCTTGATTCGACTTTTTTCTTTTTATAATTCGTTTGTTTGCCGAGTAAACTAAACTAAGAAAAGAAGAAGAAAACACTAAATGGAACATATTTGTGTTTTGCCTCTGCTCTGTTCTTGATGTTCATGAATGTTCTCAAGTATATCTCTTTGTATTTTGCTTTAAAGATAGCTGATCGATCATTCAGCAAGCTTCTAAGATGTGGGTTATTTTCATTTATCCTTTTTTGTTTATTGCCATGTAAATAATATATATTAGATCTTATTGGTGACTACCCATATATTGTCTCCCTGAAATGTGGTGGTTGTGATCATTGATTTCTTAACTACTGGTGCATAAATGTGCCTTCTATTATTACCTTTTAACATTCGGAATGAAATGAGTTTGCCTGCTTTGATACATGCAGTTAATTGCAGTATTTTTTTGACAATTTAATAGATGTTATCAGGGCTGTGTTTGGTTGGAGGATTTGATGAGGGAAATGGAAATGGAAATTGAAATAGAAAGAAAAGTTGGATTTGAATTCCAAGCTATTGGTTGAGTTGGGAAATGCAGAAAGAAAAAAGCATAAACGAACTAAAGGACAAAAAGTGGCATTGCATTTCCCTCTCACTCTCTTTTCCCCTTTGTTTTCCATTATAACCAAACAAAATATGGGGTTGCATTTCCTCTTTCCTTTTCTTTTCTCTCATCAAATCCTTCAAATGTTATGAAATTCAATTTTCTTCTAATTCAAATTTGTCTTTAATTTTTTGTTTAATACAGTTTGTTTAGTTTTTAATTTTCTGTTAATTTTGGGCGTAATGTTTGCTTGCTAATTCCAGGTGTTGAAGTCAAAGCTGGACAACCCCTTAAGGTCACACCTCAGCTTGGCAAAGTCATACATATTTCCCAGGTTATTATCAACATATAATCAATACACTTGCCCTATGCCAACACAATGACAACTATTTTTTATTTTATCTTTTTTTTTTTTTGCATGTCTTTTTGTTTGACAAATGTTGGGATGTCGCTGTTTTCCAGGGAGCATTGGGTGAGGGAAAGAAGGAAAAAGGAAATGACCTTATCCCACTCCGTGTGAAGATTAATGGTGAGAAGTTCGTCGTGGGATCACTTTCTGCGGAGAATTTTCCTCAAGTTGCATTTGATTTGGTGTTTGAGAAAGATTTTGAGCTGTCACATGACTGGAAAAATGGAAGTGTCTACTTTTGTGGATATTCAGCAGACAATCCTTTTGTATATCCTTCAAATTCATTCCTTATCATGCTTAATTTCATGCGTTTGCAAATTATCATATTCTTTATTATCAATGTTTAGAGTGTGTGATATGCCAGCCTCAGCTCTAAGATGAGGCTTTTTGAATGCACGCCACATTATTGTTCGCTCTCAGGCTTGTCCCGTGATTTCGATATTTCCTTTATGTAAATATTTTAAGCCTTCACTTGCATGACAGATACATACAGGAGAAGGGTTTTATAACCTGATTAGATGTTAAATGTTTTTCTTCTTCCCATCCTATTAGTATTCAATTGCCTGTGATTTAATTAATTTGAAGTGAAGTTGGATTTTTTGTTTCTCTTGTGAAACTACAATAGTTCTGTTCCCATGTTTTTTTTTTTGGTTTCTCACCAAGCATATACAAATGTATATCTTAAAGATTGCTGTTGTGTGATATTTCAGTATCTGTTGTTTAACTTTTTATCTGTAATTATTTGTTGCAATTTTACATTAGAGATTGAGACCATAAATACTATGTTGATGCATTGGGTTGTTTTGTTTCAAATTTATGTTTTGTTTCCTTGACTGCCTGATGTCTTCTCTCTCCACTGATGATGATGAATTTGGTGAGTCCTAAGACATACCTTGAGTAGATATGGTTGTCAAGTGTCATATTCTTTTAGCTGAATGGTTCTTCCTAAATATTTTATTTTTCAGAATCGGATGATTCAAGTGATGATGAAGATATCCCTCTACCCTTGACTGAGAATGGTAGAATTTGTATTGTCATTTGGTATAGTATTTTTTTAAATTATTTTTTTTATATCAGATTCTAAACTGTTGATTTTTTTTCTTTTGAAATTTGTCAGGGAAAATTGAATCTAAGGTGGAGGAAGTGAAACCAGATGCAAGTAAAGGTAAAACTGCTAAACCTGAATCTTCTGCTAAGCCAAAGGTGACTGTTGTGGAGCCAAAAAAAGATGATGAGTCTGATGATGATGATTCAGATGATTCGTTTGAGGATGACTCAGATGATGAGGTAAGTCAGTCACACCTTGATTTAAGGATTATTTCTGTGATCCTTGTATAATTACGATAAATTATACGGACATCATTTTCCAATGAAAAATTAATTGATTTTTATGATATATCCATTTTTTTTTGTTTTATAAATATTATACAACAAATATTGTCAACTTCATTTTCTGAGTAAAGCTGTATTGTCAGGAAACCTTTAACGGTAGGTATATGTATTAAGATGCATCTTTCACATCTTTGTTTGCCTATTGTTAATATTATTGGTTTAGAAGGAGTTTGGAATTATAATGGCCAGAAAGGTTGAAAGTTTATTAGTCATAATATAATTGATATAAAAGAAAATTAAAATTGAATGTTGTGTTTGATAGATGAGTGTTATATGATAAAGAGGAGAGAAGGTATTTTAATTTCTCGTACTTTCTCTTGTTTGTTTCTCCAGACAAGAGAATTTTAGGCAGAATGGTTATCATCAGCTTAATAGGTTAAACAGAAGGTGCAAGTATCTAAATGATTTATATTGATCTTTCTGGGTGATATTGCTAAAGAATAATGTAAGCTGTTGCTTTATAGTGAGTTTTACCTTTATAAGACATTAGAAAATATGGCTATAGACTACTCTGGACTTTTATTCTCGTCATTGCTTTAAAACCATTTTCAAGACAACAATTGGAATTTACTTTACTGTTCATCTTAAATGAGCCCAAGCGGCTGTCCTATAATTGGTGATAAAAATTTGTTTACCCCTATGAAGTGAAACCTTTTGAATGGTTTATTGTTGCTTAGGACATGATGGGTGCTTCAGATGACATTGGTGATTCGGACGATGATGACACTGAGGATGATGACTCAGAGGACGAAGATGATGAGACACCTAAGAAGGTAATAGCTGGTGGGGAAAATTTGACATTGTGGTTTGATCCAATACTGCACTCATATTTTAACCTACTTTTGTTGTCCTTGTTTCATTTTGAAGGCTGGGCCTGCCAAGAAGAGAGCCACCGAATCTGCAACAAAAACACCTGTGCCCGCTAAAAAGGCAAAATTAGATACACCTCAGAAGACAGGTGAACTGCTTCATCTTTTTTCTTGTCTGGACTAGATTTTACTCTGAATTGTTTTATACATGATGCAACATATCCCAGTAGTCTTAAGGTAGATTAGTTTTTCGCATATACTTGCATCTTGTCTTGTGACTTTTTTTTATTTATTTTAAAAATGATTATGTCAGGAGTTTGGAAAAAAACTGTCATTTGTATCTTGAGTTGAATTTGTTTACTGCAAGTTGAAAGAACAGCTTATTATTGCTGTTTTGTAGTTTGGACAAATTATTTATGTTGTTTATTTACTTCAGAATTTGTTATTTAATCGTGGAGGAACGTAGAGGAGAAAAGGAATCACACTTTAGAAGCAGTGGATAATGGACGGGGAACTCAGGAAAAAACATTTATTGAACTTGAAACATTTAAGAGTTGCTCATGTATTTTCTTTCACTTTTTAGCTGTGTTACATGGGCTTTTCTAGTTTGTCTAAAGCACCCCATGTCCACCACATGACAACTATAAGGTTGTGGGATGTGTCTGATACCTGAACTCTTGGATCATCTATTTTTTTTAACATTGTTTGAAGAAAAAGTCACATTTGCTAATAAAGGATTATTTTTCAACATTGGGACAGAATTAGGAATTAGTATATCATGAATGGGTAGGAGTAGCATCGATAAAAGATAAGTTGAGAGAGAATAGATCGAGATGGTTTGGTCATATACGACAGAGACCAATAGAAGTAGCAGTGAAGAGATGTGATATAGTGGACGGTAGATGAAAGTGTTAGGTGAAGTGACAGACCTAAATTGACATGGATGAGTGTAGTAAATATAGATATGAATCTTCTTAATTTGATTAACTAGATAGATGGCCATTGATAGAGTTGAGTGGAGAAGAAAGATTCATGTAACCGACCCTATTTGATGGGATTTGAGGTTCGGTTTGGTTTGGTTTTGGGATAGAAACTCACATGGATGAGGTTTAGAAAGCATATATTTTCTTTGTTTTTATTTAATTAAAGTACATTTAATACATATTTTATAACATATTATTTAATAATATTATGGAACAAGCCTGAGACCCTTAAACATGACATCACATTTGCTAATGAAAAAATATTTTGACATTGGGACAGAAACTCACATGAATAAGGGATAGAAACTGTCTGTTATGCGTTTCTGTACCCATATTCAACCTCTTTGTAAGGTCTAGGTCATCACTATTTTGCTGGAACCATGGATTATTTGTTAGGATTGTTGCAACCCGATCTTGATTGTTTTGGTATGCTGCCAATATCCGCTGCTAGATTTTAATGCAATTACTGTATTGGTATTTGATGAAACAAAATTGAGATAACGAATAATCCTCAAGCCTAGTGCCATATTTCTGTCTAATTCAAAGTAAATAAATTATCATTGGCATCTGTTACTATCATTTGATGAATTAGCTGAATTCTTTTCCGATGTACCAAAAAAAAGATGAATTAGCTGAATTATTTTGTATGCTTTATGAATTCTCCGAAGAGAGATGTTTGTGGTCAATACCCACATCGTCCCATAACAAAGTCATTTAGCAGATTTAATGCTGAGATTAGTCTGGTTTATTTTTGGCACAGGTGGTAAGAAAGGTGGTGGTCACACAGCAACTCCCCACCCTTCAAAACAGGTTGGGAAAACTAATGCCACCGCTAATAGCAACAAGTCCAATGAGAAGTCCCCAAAGTCTGAGGCTAAAGTTTCTTGCAAATCCTGTAGCAAGTATGTTCATGATCGGAAAGCTGGTTTGCTCACTCTATTTTGAATTACCAAGACTGACATTAATGTCCCTTTTTTAACAGGACATTCAACTCGGACAATGCCCTACAATCTCATACAAAGGCCAAGCATGATGGCAAATAGGAAATTTATTTTTGGTTGAGAGTATGATGTGAAGACGGGGGAGGGCTTTGTGCTTCGTGTTGGTAGGATTTTCTGCACAGGACAAAACAATTGGTTGGCCTTGTCTTTTATGATATTATCTGTCAATGTTTTACAATCTGGTAGAACCGTAAATTACTGAATACTATTTCTCTTTTTCCAGTTTTGTAAGTTTTGGAAGTTCTATGAAATGATGTTACCTTGGATTATAGTCACCAGTTATCTATCATATGAGTGTTCTGTTATGTTTCACATTGTTCTTGATTTCTGGTTGAAATATTGTTTGTTTGTTTTTTTTTTTTTAATGTGTTAATTTTTGCCCAAATGCACATATAGCTGCTGCATCTTGGAAATTATTTACTTGGTCTTTGCTTTTGAGAGGCAAAGATAATATATATATTACGGATATGTATTTTATGTTAATAAAATGTGGTGTATTGTCTTAGGAAACATACCATGGGGGTGTTTGGGAAGAGAGTTGGGTGAAAATAGCCTATTAAAAGATAAAATAAATTAAAATAATTAATAAGATAAAATGTCACATTTAATTTATAATTTTTTTTTCTCATAATCATTAAATAAATTACAAATAAAAGTAAACTAATTCATTGAACTTAGTCAGGTTAAAACAATCAAAAAGTCAAATAATTAAGAGTAATGTTAGAAATTTCAAATAATTTATCAAATATTTTATCAAATTTCTTACATTATCTATGTGAGAGGTTGGTAAAACGTTTAGGAGATTATTTAGGATCTTTCGCATTACTCAATAATCTATTAAAATAGTTAACTTTTTAAACAAGCCAAAAAATGAACCTAAAAAATGAGAGAAACCATAAAAGTGGTCTGTAAGTATCTCATAAAAGGGTCTGTAAATATCTAGCAGGTTTTCTAAATACAGAAAGTTGAAGAAAATTATGAAGAATAAGAACTTATCAGTTTTGGTTATGTTTATACGATTTGTTTCTTTTCAAGTAACAAGAATTCATGATGTTTCAAAACTCAAAAGTTCAGAATTCCAACAATGTTGTTATCTCGTTATTTTTTATAGGTTTTTTGTCTTGAGAAATTATTCAATGCCGTTTGAGCAAGTTTATCTTTACTTTATGTTGAAGTTTTAAAAGTCTATAATCAAGATAGTTTATAAATTACATAATTCAATGGTTCTAGTTTAAAAATAAAATAAAAATATCATATAATTTTTAAACCAAATGTGAAACATTAAGGTGCGGTTTAATAGCATATACAGTTTATTGTTTTTAGTTTAAAGAAAACATTAAACTTGTTTATGTTTATTTTGGGTAAAAATGAAAACAAAAAATATATTTGGTACATGAGTGTTTCAAAATTTTGTTTTAAAAACAAGTGAGAAGATGTGGTTATTGTCAGTTGGAGATAGTGATCAAAATTGATTGTTAGCTATGAGAGGTAGTGGTCAAAAGTGGTTGATTGTCATGAAAAGTGGTGGTCAAAAGTGATTGCTGCTGGTTTGAGATGTTGGCTGGTTAGCTGCCTATGGTGATAGTTGATGATGACTTTTAATAAAAGGTGGTGGTCAAAAATGGTTACTATCGATGTGAGATAATTGGTGGCGATAGCATGTGATTAGCGATTAAGGCAGGTGGTTGACAAAGGAGATCATTGACGATGATAGCCGGTAGTAATGAGGAATGACTCAATGAGTGGTGATTGAAAAGAGGAGAAAAAAGAAGAAATGAAAAAAAAAAAAAATTAAACAAAAAAGTGAAACAAACCTTTTGTGTTTACAAAATCTAATAAATTCTGGAAATTTTTTTACAACTGTTTGAAAATATAGAAACCAGGCAAGTTTTTGTTTATAATTTAAAAAATTCACTAAATATAAGCAGAAAACTATAAATATAAACATTACTCAATAAATTCTAAACTTAAACATTTTTTTTAATAATTGCATGTTCGGTGTAATTTGTGCAGACACTAATCCCAACCAGATTCATGTGAGTGGATCCTATTACCAACCTAGTCTCTCAATGAACAAGATTAAGATCCTGTTTGTAGCTTATAGTTATTTATTATTTAAAATATAAAAAAATTATTTCAGAGTATTTTGTGTATCCTGTTTATAACTTTTATGACAAAAAAAATTAAAATAAATTGATTATTTAAAAATTATTATTATTTTTTAAAGTTTTGCTTTCTAATCGTAAACTTCCAGTTTGTCCTAAAGAAAGTATTGATGCGTTGCATAGTTTTACATCGCTTTTACTGCAGAAATCGTTTGCCAAAAAAAAATATATATATATATATAAATAAAAACATACACATAAACACACCAAGTTACCAAGTTACATAAACACACACATAAACCCGAGAGAGAGAGAGAGAGAGAGAGAGAGAGAGAGAGAGGGGGGGGGGGAGAACTCCTTGTGATATGAACACCTTTTCAATTATCATGTGAGGTCTGCATTTCAAAACAAACGTGAATTCAAACACACGAAATACACCTCTCAAATGCCTCGAACACCTGTCACCTGTCACCTGTCACTTTGAACATGAAGCACCAACCAACCAATAAAAATATATAAAATAAAATCAGTCTAAAATAAAGCCTAACTAGACCTAATTCCATCTATAATCCCTGCATGTCCTTCAGTTGACGAGGCTAACAATAGCTAGGGTACTAAATGACTGGGAAATATTGTAAAAACACAAACTCGGAACTCTATTTCTGGTCCATCTTCCACAAAGATACAAAGGATAAGGTATTTAAAGAGTCAAAAACTATTGCGGATCAAACAAACCACCAAAAGTCTGGTTCACAAAACCACAACATGAAGCAATTAAAACTATTATAAGGCCCGAAAGGTACACATCTTCACTGACGAAAGAAACTACCAAAGTTCCATCTCATCAGATATGGTGCACCTAGGATTGCCACATCAGATTTTAGATTAACTCTCTCAGAGCCACTAATCATTAACCTTCTTAAAAGAATTGTAGCAAGAATGTGAATAACCAGAAAACAAAAGGAACTCTTAATAAGATCAAATTATATCAGTTTTTCACAGCATTATCAAATGCCTGTGAATTCAAATTTTCAATTTATTTATCTTGCAAAACCAGGTCCACCAGTAGAGGCAGCACTCAGCATTTCACAGCTTTTTTCAGCAATGAGTTACTTCTCCTTCGTGAACTAGCAGGATTGTCAAAACCTGGCCCCTACAATCCCATACTAGTATCATGCATACTGGTAAGGGTATTCTTCCCACTCCTCATCATTCATTCCAACTCAATAAGGTGTTGCATGCTCCTATCTCATCTAATTTGGTATCTGTGCATAAGCACACTAAAGAGAATAATTGCAATATTACATTTACTGATTCCTCTTTTGTTATTCAGGACAACAACCCCAAGGCCATTTTACACAAGGGCCTTAATTCTCATGGCCTCTACCATTTTTCTCCTGTTCAATCCTATCATTCTTCTTCATTGTCACATGCTGCTACTGCATTTTTCAGTCCTACTACTGTGTCTACTTCAGAGTCCATTTGGCATAAACGACTAGGTCACCCTTCTTCTTCTAAGTTTGCTCATATGAAGAAGCATTTTCTTTCTTTTATTAATAAAACCAAGGGTATATCTCAGCCTTGTCATGATTGTTGTGTTTTAAAAAGTCATAGGCTTCCATTTTCACTTTCTAATTCTATTGTACAAAGACCATTTTCTCTTATACATAGTGATGTGTGGGGGCCATTTACCTCTTCTGTGTCTACTTTTAAATACTATGTGTTGTTTGTTGATGAATTTATTAAGTTTACATGGCTTTATCCTTTGTGCTATAAAAGTGAGGTTCATTAGATTTGAGTAACATTGCAGCTACTTATTTATGTAGGAGCTATAAATTTCTTAATCCTATGTGTGGGGATGTTCAAGAATGGTTCAAAATATTACAAATTTTTTTTATCTTTGGACCGAAAAGCTAGAACAAGAACATATAGGCAAAACACAGTGAACCTAAAATACCAATACTTATTGGGGGAAGGGAGGACACTAAAATGCCAGACATTAACCCAAATCCATCCTTCACAAATCCAAAATTGAGATGCGAATATTTGAAGCAAACAAATTCATAAGCACAAAAAAGCTGAGAATTTTTTTATTTTATTTTTAAACACAGGATTCAAATTTCAAATATCCTCTATAGATTTCCCACTATTTCTCAATTTTAAGTCATTTATTCCTTAACCAACCCACTTCAACCTTCATCAGTATGTTAACATACTTTAATCTCAATGAAGATTTTGACATTTCAAATGGATTTCCAATGTGAACAGAAACTTATATCCTCAAGCACAATGAATTTTTTTCTTCACCCAGACTCTAAAGATTGATATAGTTAAAGCATCATTATAGTAGAGACATCAATTTTTCCTTGAAATTGAATTGTAGAAAGTATCACCAATCAATCAAGCCATATATATATACACACATATATTTCAGAATGGAAGAAGATATACTGAGATGTGATTCAGACAAACCAGTAGGCATGCTCGCAACCTTTTACAAGAGCGCGGTTTCTTGAAGCACTATCTTATTCAAACAGATGGCACAAATTCCATGATGATTCTCACAACTCACTTGTTGACCCTCCCCCCCTGTACTCTGCATTACCCTCTGAAAATCACAATCACAACATACATAAACAGATCTCATCAACAAACAACGATAACCTTTAGGCTCCGTTTGATTGCTGAGAAAATGGATAAATTAAAGCAAGGGGAAAGAAAAGCTTCAAAACCCTAATCTTTCCGCCCCCAAAATTCCACTAAACTGAACCTAACCCAAGTATTCGACCCAATTCTAGTTTATTAAAGAAAACTAGAAAAGAACATAAGAGATTCAAAGTTCATTTTCTCCCTTAACTTTTCTCGGGAACCAAACAAGATCTACGAGAAGGCAAACCTGCTCTTGGACCGACAGATTGTCCAGGTCGTTGGTAAGCTGTTGACCCTCAATCTCGACCACGACTGCACTCATGTTGATTGATATATATATATATAGCTCAAACGATAAAACAAAGAATCAGAGAGAAAGAGCAAAGGCTCTACAACTGAGAGATTTTTAGAGAGAGAGAGAGAGAGAGAGAGAGAGAGGTTGATACAGAAAGAGAGAGGTTTGGAGAGAGAATCTATCGAATAATGCTTTGATGAGAGAGAGAGAGAGAGAGAGAGAGAGAGAGAAAAGCCCTAACAAGAGGTTGGGGCAATTAGGTCAAAAAGTAAAAAAATAAAATAAAATAATTTTTTGATTTTTTTTTAAGAATATTTATCAATAAATCTCATCTCATAGATAAGTATTCTGATTAGTCCTAATTTTTTTCTATTGATCTGTTAAGTCTTATTAGTGGAGAGTTTCTTCCGTGTGATCTTATTTTCAATTTTGATAGTATTTTGGCAGATAGTTATATCCTTTTATTAATATGACAAGTATGATGTGATATTCCAATGTGGCAGATATTAATATCACTAACGATATGACACTCCAAAAAAATTAAAAATTCTTTAGTATACTTTTTTAAATGTGACAACGTGATGAATATGATGTAACATTCCAAAACTTTTTACTCTCAAAAAAATAACTCCTCCTTAGTATACTTTTTCAAATGTGACAGTGGCAGGTATGATGTGACCCTTCAAAAAATAAAAACTCCTTAGTGTATTTTTCTCAAATGTGACAACGTGGCGGTATAATGTGACACTTTAAAAAAATAAAAATTCTTTAGCGTACTTTTCTCAAACGTGATAGCGTGACAGATATGATGTGACATTTCAAAAAAATAAAAGCTCCTTAATATATTTTTTCCAAACGTAACAACGTGATAGGTATGATGTGACACTTTAAAAAAAATAAAAACTCCTTAGTGTACTTTTTCCAAACGTGACATATGACACTCTAACATGACGGGTATGATGTGACACTCTAAAAAAATTAAAAAATTTGTACTTTTTTTAAATGTAACACTCTAATATGGCGAGCATAATGTGACACTAAAAAACTCTTTAGTGTACTTTTTTTAAATGTGACACTCCAATGCAGGGGTAAATGAGTGATTACACATCCAAAAAGACTAAATGGATTACAAAAAAAAAAATATGGAACTATATGGATTACAAGTCCAAAATATAGAACTTATTGGTCAATCCTTTTTTTTTTTTTTAAGAGTGCTGCTATTAGTATCCCATA